TATATATATATATACTGTGAATGTTTAAAGAAAATGTGTGGAATTTGTTATTTATTCCCGTTACTTATGTCGCTATATTTCAGTGGGACTCACACTATTTTCAAAAGTAATGTATTAAACAAGTTTTCTATCACTCAAAGACAGTAAGCTCTATACCTTTATAAGGAAAGGTGTCCAAATTTGCATGTGTGTACGTGTGGGAACTGCAAATTGCAAGTTCCCACACTCATTTTGTTGCAAAATGAGGGGGTTTGACGCCATGTCAAGCATAACAAACTGTGTGGACAGATTACACAGCTCCAAATAGAAGATCTTCCCCAGTTTGTCACACAGTAATGGTTGATACTTGACATGAAGGACAGATAAGTTTCACCCAGCTGATCCAAAAAAGGGTTCTCTGATTTCTCTGGAAATGTCTTTTTAGTCTCTGTACCACCCTTCACTTCAAATATATCCTGGTCAAATGTGACACATCAGTTATCGGGGGAATATACCCTCTATTCTCTCAGAAACATAGCAAAAAAAAAAAAGATAGCACCCTCACTTCCTTCTGCTGATCTGTGCTGCATCCTCCCACCTCTGTGACATGACGAAGCAGCCCCTCACAGTATCTGACAAAACCCACAACATTTTCCACTTTCCTTAAAGATCAGCCTGGTCTACTGTGTGAACCTCTTGAAGGGCTCCCCCCGTCTTTTCCATGATCCAACAATGCCACAAGAGATGCTACCATGACAAAACACCTGTGTTACTTGTGTAGAGAAAATGTAAATGTATGCTTTTCCTCAGTAACCAGAGTCAAGACATAACACCTCGTTAGGCCCTTGCAACGAATATTAACACCTGTCTTGTTCAGGTTCTAACACCTATACACAACAACATGAGTAATTCAAAGACATTTTCCTGCAGCACAGTTATTTAGTTAGTCAGATATCTGGGATCTGAGGACCCCTAGTGGTTTTAAAAGGGGATTCAAAGTTGTTCTTATTCACTGCAATTCCCCTCACTGGATGCTAACACAATGAGAGTATGATAAGTTTACCTCTTTTAGTTTAAGTTAAGTGACATAATTATATCCTATCAAATGGCTCTGGTGGCCTAATTTGTATGCAACGTGTTAGGACCGTAAGACTACAACTCCCAATAACCCAAAGTGACGTTTACCCAACATGCACCTCGGCTTTGAGAAGATGAGGCAAGATGGCGACTAAAATAAGCAAAGAGAGTCCTCCACCTTTTGATTGTCCATCATGGTGAGAAAATGCACGTGCGAAAGTTGTAACTATTTGTCTGCAATGCAATATCAGATGCAAACGAGCGAAAAAAACGCTGACTTATTTATATAACTCACTTTTACTCAGAGGGAAGCTTGTAGTTGCTGTAGCTAACGTTAGCAACTATGCCAGCTAGCAGGCTAACCCGTTAACGCTGCCATTGGTTTAGAAATGGCGTTGGGATGTGTGTTGTCGTCTTTTCTAGAAGATGCTTCACATGTTTAATCACAGGAGCGCAACTTACGCAGCAACAGGAGGCCTTCTGTGACGCCGATAGGACATTTTAACACTGCTAACCCTGTGTCTAGATCTGTGATAGCGTTGCTCTTGCAATAGATGACGACCGCAGTAAACGTTTCCATAAGCGGACTGTAGAGGTCCAAGCACTCGTTTTTATGAATAAATCTTCAAGCGCTACAAGAACAACCAAGCAGGGTTATTAATGTATTGTGTGTAGTGTTCAGCTTGGCCGACATGTTCTGTTTTAAATGTTTCAAACGCTCACAAAGCTATTTTCTTTCAGGGCAGGCAAGCCGCCCCCAGGGCTCCATCTAGACGTGATGAAGGGAGACAAACTAATGGAGGTAACCGGACGTTTGGAAATCAGCTTAATGCTGTTAATGCTACTGTAGTATTGTGGGTGGTACGTTTGTTGAATGCACCAGATACGAGCCTGACAGTCCCCCTTGGTTTTCTATGGCTGCATGGCTTCAAACGGTGCAAAAGCAACATTAGCCCCGAGATTTAAGCTTTTCAGTGGGAAGCAACACTGTTGAGTTATGGCTCAGGGGCACATTGCAGAGTGTCTGCAGACCTTTACCCCCCCCCCTTTAATGACCATGATTCACTGAAACTTGTCTCTCCCTTTTAGAAACTGATCATAGATGAAAAGAAGTACTACCTGTTTGGGAGGAACCCCGACTGGTGCGACTTCACCATCGATCATCAGTCATGCTCGCGTGTCCATGCTGCCCTGGTCTACCACAAACACCTGAAAAGGGTCTTTCTCATAGACCTCAACAGCAGTAAGACATTCTTTACATTCACACTTGTGTACTCATTTTAAGTTTAGATTCAGTGTCTGGCAAGGTTTAACTTACATGTTAAGGGCTGAAAAACTAATAACATTGATCTGCAAAGGGACAGATATTAAATGCAATTAAAAATGACAATGGACAATGAAGGGGAATTGTTAACTTTGCTACACGTGTATACAAAGTTTTAAGGTTTGCAGAGCCATCTTGAAGTATTTCCACCACCAGGACTGAATCACACAATGTAACATCTGCAAACTATGAATAACCTGTCGTAACATGTGCAAATCCGGTTTGAATGTGCCTGTTTTAGCACACGGTACTTTCCTTGGACACATCCGTCTGGAGGCACACAAGCCTCAGCAGGTTCCCATTGACTCTACAATATCTTTTGGGGCCTCAACACGGACCTACACCATCAGAGAGAAACCCCAAACCCAAGGCACCGCTGGCACAGGGGACAGTAAAACAGGAGAGGATGAGGAGCTGAAAGGACTGCTTGGGCTTCCAGAGGAAGAGACAGAGCTGGAGGTACATGTAGTTTCTTGAAAACAACATTGTAATGCTCTCAAACATGCACTATAAACAGAGAAAGAAAATGGCTGCATCTTGTGTCTTAATTATTGTTTTATTTTTATAGATTTGTTCATCAAGTTTAATAATTTGCATTTTGTTTCAATCTTTACAGGTTATAAATTGTATGAGTAGTAATAACTCAAATGCGCTGTCCTAAAATGTTTACATGACATTAACATAAGAACTAGTGATTGTATGGCCTGTTTATGCCTATTGCCTATTGATAACAAGTAACAAGTAGCTCTGTTAACTCCCCCCCTTAGTTTTATGATGCTATCTGTCTTTCTCGTGCTCAGTCTGTTATATTGTTGTGTTATAAAGTAGTAATATCTTGATATCAATGCAGCCACATTACACACGTTTTTCCTTTCTTGTCTGCATTCCACCAGAACCTTACAGAGTTCAACACAGCTCACAACAAGCGCATCTCCCTACTGACCATTGAGGAGGGTAACCTGGAAATCCAGAGACCTAAGAGGAAACGGAGGAACTCCAGGGTGACCTTCAATGAAGAGGACTCCATTATTAACCCAGGTACAAATTGTGTGAAAGCAGTATTGAAGAAAACACAAATACTGCATACCACTGTAATTTGGCTCGTATTTGGCACAAAACTTTCAGAGACAGAAAACATTTAATTAATAATTAATTTTCTGGCTTCATTTGGAAGGGTTTTGCTATGAGGGGCTTCCTGTCGTGCTGTCAATATATAACCAAGCTATATCAGCTATCACTGATCCGATATGTCCATTTCTACTTTTGAAGAGAAGAAATGCACCCAGCAATAAATTGTAACACTTGTTTTTTTTTTTAAATACTTACAGAGGATATAGACCCCTCAGTGGGACGCTTTAGAAATATGGTGCAGACTGCTGTCATCCCTATCAAGGTAAGCTTTGGTTTTGTCATTTAAAAAGTTTTGATTTAGTTGGCACATTTCAGTTGACAGGACACAAAGTATTACTGTGTTTTGTTACTTTTAAGCAAGAATAAAAACTGATTCTGCGTGAGCATGGCACCAGTGTTTGGTTATGGTCTGTTTCAACTGAAAATAAGTAGTGTGTGTCTATCTATATCTATATCTATAT